CTGACCCATGCCAAGAGGAAGGAGTTGGGTGCTTCCCTAGGGGGCACCACCACTGCCTGTCTAGTGGCACCGCCACCCCTAGGGTGGTGGTCACTTGGCCTTGGTTCCGAGCAGCGAAGTTGAGGGTGGCACTGCCAGTGATGGTGTTGATGAGTACAAGCCCGATCTTCCGAGAGGTAGCCGGTAAGTTCGATTTGTGGAGATCTCGACGTTGGCGATCCGGCTTCAAATCAGACATGATTCGAACCCTGCAACCGTTACACCACTGCTCCGTTGGTTATCAACCAAGCACAACTTGATTGACCTCGCCAAGAAGGCTTTTCCTGCAAGCGAATCGAAGATCACAAGCAATAAGGTAAAACACGCAATCTGATATTGCAAATATGAATGATGCGAATATCAATAGAGGGTTCTAGAACTCGGTTCCAAAGGACTAATCGACACAGTGGAGGAGATCAAGAACGGGGGCCCTGGATCACTGTAAAAGGATTTGTCACCACAGTTACAATGAACGATTCAGTTTCTCGATGGAAAACTAAACTCTAAACTAAACCCAATTGTGTAGCAGCGGCGGCGGCTGTGTTTATAGTCTAAGACTCGACCTAGGGTTGGGGACGACCAGGGGTTGGGCGCCCACAACTTGGGCTTAAGGCCCGACACGATACATGGCCAAGTTGGCCCAAATAGGTGACGCAGCACCTTGCCGTGGTCACACAGAATGATCCACGGACCTTCTGGAGCTGGGACCAGATCCAAAATGACGGCGTCGTCGTCCCCTTTCCAACGCATCCAAGAACGGCCCGTTTCGATGTCGTATGAGAAAGTTATGACCGAAACAGTGACGACGTGTCTGCTGAATCCGAGGGCGACGTGGCAGCTGAGTTGGGAACGAATTGCAACTTGGGGAAGACCATGGCGTCGGTGTGTCCAGCATGGCGATGTCCTCATCAGGTGTACACCCCCCCAGGCGTGACGGTGCACTGCCGGGGTGCGTTCGGTGCCACCACCTCAATTTTTCTGAGGCTGGAGTTTTCAGTGTTGAGCAAAGAGGGTCACCGCCATGGGCACCGCCGCCCTATGTCCGGTGCACTGCCCTAATAATCCAGAGAGGAGTGTTCTCAGGGGTTTGGTTGGGTGGTCATCGCCACCCCTAGGGCGGTGCCACCGCCACCCCTAGACGTTGGAATTTGACCGTTCGAAGGGGCACCACCGTGTTCGGTGCCAGGCACCTTCCTGTTCGGTGCCCTCGCAGGCAGCAGCCCAAATGCTACAACGGCTCTATTTGGCTTAGGGGCTATAAATAGAGGTGGAGCTCGGCCTTGGGCTGGTTGCTGAGCACCATTAAGCCTTGGTGGCTTGTGTAGGTGTGTTTGGGAGCCCTTTAACTAACATACGCTTGATAGTGATCATCTGATTGAGTGTGAGTGCGATTCTAGTGCGATTGCATTGTGAGAGTGCATCGAGTGGCCCTAGGTGTTCGTGTTGCAAGCCGGTGGTACTTGTTACCCTTGGGTTGCCACCTCCTAGATGGCTTGGTTGTGGTCTCCGTCGAAGCACGCAAAGAAAATTGTGTGGTGGTTCGGAGAAGTATTTATGAGGGGTATTGTGCTCACCCCACGGGAGCCGTGAAGAGCAACTCTAGTTGAGCGTGTCATTGAGCTACCCTCACTTGGTTTGTGGGGTTCTTGCAGCGCCTAACGTGTGGGCTTGGTGTGGTGCTAATAAGCTGCCGAACCACCAAGTGAACGATCAACACAACGGGGACTAGCTTGGTGGAAACCAAGTGAACCTCGAGATAAAAATCATCGTGTCATCCTTGTCTTTCCGTTTGGTTTGCATCCCCTTTACACAAGCTTGTATTTACTTTCATTTACATTGTGCTTGTGTAGTTGCTCTTGTAATTAGTTAGATTGTGTAGCTTGCTAGTAACCTTCTTGCTTATGTAGCATAGAAGTAGCCCCCTTGCGTAACTAATTTGGCTTAAGTAACATTGTTAGTTGCATTGCTTAGTTTGTGTAGTTAAGTAATTTACGCTCTCTAATTTGGCTTGTGTAGCCTTATTATTGAGCATTGCTAATGAGCTTATGAGCTTTGTGTGCTTTGCATCACTAGTTATGTAGGAGCTCTCCTGGTTGCTTGAAGTACTAGATGCATAGGTTTGTGTGACCTTGCTTTTAGAATTGGTTAGGTGAGCTCTAGCTAGCCCGACACCATTGTTGCCTAATTAGGATCTTTTAACGTGCTTGTGAACTTAGATAGAGGGGTATAGTCTTGGCTAGACAGTTAGTTTTAATTCTGTATTTATCTCGATTAGCCAATGTGTTTAATTTTAGAAAGGACTATTCATCCTCTCTAGTCCGCCATCTTGACCCTACAAGATGGATACACATGCATCCAAACAAGGACGTAGATAGGAACGAACCCTCCAGAGCTCTTTGGTTACTTCAATTCAATCAGGCCATCTGGATTTTTAATCTTTCTACTAGTGCGTTGGGGACTCGGTCGTGTTGGTCCAGGATTGGCCCAACCGAATGTCCTGATAAATAATGGGCCGTCTTCACACGCTGAAGATGACTTCGCCCTCTTTTTGTTAACGAAAGGAAATACATAAATAAAGAAGGATAAATGGGTCAACCCAACGAAGGCATGACAACCACAAGCAACAACTTAGTTTAGTTGATGGGCTGGGCTTAATTAGGCTAAACAGGACCGTAGAGAGTGAGTTCCTATTTTTATCGTGACAGGTTGGTCATATTTATCGTTGTAAAGGACCGTGACGCCTAAGGCAGGGGTGAATCAGGTAACTTAAAATTCTACTTCTAATTCCGCCTAGTCGAAACCTATGCAACAAAGTAACTATTCTAAATGTGCAACTAAAGTTTGGCTAGGTGTGTTGCTATCTCTACCGCAAAAGAGATATAAACACCCTAGGTTCCAATCCTATCAACTATCCTATCAAACTAAGCTAGGAAAGTAAGCACACAACCAAGGTACATAATATAAATACGGAAGGTAAAGATGAGGTAGAGATGCAAACTCCCATCGATGACTTCGATATTTTCATCGAGGTATCAAGAAGCGCTCAAGCTTGCCCCTAGTCCTCGTTGGAGCCCCTCGCAAGGAATCCATCGCAAGGGACAAGCTCTCGGTCAGGTAACTCCATGGATAGTCTCGGGCCTTCCCCACGCACAAGTGGGTCTCCGGTGTGCCTTCTGGCATGCCTCTCCTGGACCGCTCCCCACCGTCTTCACTATCAAGCTTCCGGCTGAACCGTCGCGGGCCTTGTTCCCTTCGATATATGGTGGTGGCCACACCACAAGCATAGTTGATGTGGTCTCGCAAGACTACTAGCCCCACCGAGTACAAACACGGTGTGCGCAAGCACCTTTGATTAAGAGGTATGCAAACCTTACTAACAACTAGACCTAAGCCTAGAGCAAGCGCATATGAGCGTGGTCTAACTAACCTAAGCACTTCGCAAAACACCTACGCTAATCATCAAGTAATCTTTAAGCTCTATGCAAGTGGAGAGCACAAATGAGATGTAGCAACACCCTCCTATCTTCCCTCAGCTCCCACACACTTCAAATGGCCGGTTGGGGTCCCTTTGTAGCCCCAAAGTGAAGAACTAGCTGTTGTGCCCGAAATGGTCATCTCTATTAGGTCACCGGACAGGGCGGTGCCTGGCACTGGACAGGGTGGTGCCTTGTCACGTCAGCTAGTCGTTGGTCACTAACACCCGATCGTTGGGACACATGTTCACCACCATGGCAGGTCCGGTGCCCCAACAAGTTTTGGCCGCTCTCTGGATATTTAGGGCGGTGGCACCGCCACCCTATCTGGTGCACCGCCATGGGCAGGGCGGTGCACACAGACACGTCTGGTGCCCCCCTCTTCTCCAGCAGTCATTGGCCCCCTCTTCTCTAGCAGCTGTTGCCCGTTGACCCATGGGTTTCAAATTGCAAGCATAGCATCTCTTATGGATTACTCCATCTATCTCTAAAAAAGAGTCGCTATGGGAATCGTGCTGATCAAATTTTCTCAACTTTAACCAGATTTGTAGAAAAATATGTGCAATATTTATATATCCAAATAAGTTTATTATAAAAGTATATTCAACGTCTACCTAATGGTATCAATTATGTACCATAAATATTAATATTTTGTTAATATATTTGGTTAAAGTTAAAAGTTATTGACTTTTTATGAAGCGAGATTAACTCTTTTTTAGAGGAAGAGGGAGTATGGTGGGATTTTGAAAGAAAAAAAAAAATAACCGGACCATGAGAGCAAGTGGGCTATAAGAGAATCCATATCATCAAAATCTTACGTGGAGGTAAGAGAATTGAAAAGATAGAAGGAAGCGAGTTGTTAGTTAACAGCCTGGCTGTAGACACGAGAAAAAGATGTCTTTTACGTCCTCTCTCCTATTGGATAAGTCTGTAACAAACACAGCTCGCTAGTAGCCCGCAGCCGGCGCTCTTATTCAGTCTGTTCAGCTAGAGCTGCTGGTTCGTAGATTATTACTGCTAGTTGATTTAGTGTAGGAAAAAATAATATTCTGACTGAAAGACACTATTTATATAAACAGTGTCCGGCCAGTCCAGCCGAATAGGCTGATTATTCTTGCTGTGAACAGACCTAGCGCTGTGACACGATGAACAGGAGCCGCGTCGGATCCGAATCGGCTCACAGTCACACGACAAAAAAAAACAAACAAAGCAACCACCGCCCCCGACCCCGCCGAGCAGCGCAACACACGTATTAGATTAGACCCCACCGCTGCCAGGCAGGCAACACGCGGACACCCAATTATTCACCCAACCCAACAACACCCCGCAGCCAGCAGGCAAAGACAAGGACGACAAGGAGGACAAGGGTCTTCATCACCGCCTCCCCTCCCTCCCCGCCTGCTCTGCTCCTCTCCTCCCTCCCGAATCCCGATCCCAGCCTCCCTCACCCCCGCCGCCGCCGCCAAATCCAGCCCAACCCAAGCCGCGATGAGCTGGTGGTGGACGGGCGCGATCGGCGCGGTCAAGAAGCGGCAGGACGAGCAGGCGGCGGCGGCCGAGCCCTCGTACCAGAGCGTGGCCCTCGTCGTCGGATCCACCGGCATCGTCGGCACCTCGCTCCTCGACATCCTCCCGCTCGCCGACACCCCCGGCGGGCCGTGGAAGGTCTACGCCGTCTCGCGCCGCCCGCTCCCGCCCTGGTCCCCGGCGCCCTCCCCCGCCGTCACCCACCTCCACCTCGACCTCGCCGACGCCGCCGCCGTCGCCGAGGCCCTCGGCGCCCTCACCGACATCACCCACGTCTTCTTCGTCGCCTGGACCAGCCGCGCCACCGAGGCGGAGAACCGGGAGGCCAACGCCGCCATGCTCCGCAACGTGCTCTCCGTCGTCGTCCCCAACTGCCCGGCCCTCGTCCACGTCTGCCTCCAGACCGGCCGCAAGCACTACGTCGGGCCCTTCGAGGCCATCGGCAAGGTGCAGACCCCGGACCCGCCCTTCACCGAGGACATGCCGCGCCTCGACTGCCCCAACTTCTACTACGACATGGAGGACATCCTCTTCGACCAGGTCTCCCGCCGCGACGGCGCCGTCAGCTGGTCCGTGCACCGCCCCACCACCGTCTTCGGCTACTCCCCGCGCAGCGCCATGAACCTCGTCGGCAGCCTCTGCGTCTACGCCGCCATCTGCCGGAAGGAGGGCGCCACGCTCCGGTGGCCCGGCTCCAGGGTCACCTGGGAGGGCTTCAGCGACGCCTCCGATGCCGACCTTATCGCCGAGCACGAGATCTGGGCCGCCGTCGATCCCTTCGCCAAGAACGAGGCCTTCAATTGCAGCAACGGGGATCTCTTCAAGTGGAAGCATTTGTGGCCGGTCCTCGCCGATCACTTCGGGGTGGAATGGGCTGGCTACGAAGGGGAGGAGAACAGGTTCAAGCTCGAGGACGCCATGGCCGGAAAGGAAGCCGTCTGGGCGGAGATTGTCAGGGAGAATGACCTCATAACGACGGAGCTTGACGAGATCACCAATTGGTGGTTCGTCGATGCCATGTTTGCTGTCGAGACCCAGCTTCTGGACAGCATGAACAAAAGCAAGGAGCATGGCTTCCTGGGCTTCAGGAACACCGTCACCTCTTTCAACACATGGATCGAGAAGATGAAGGTCTTCAAGATTGTTCCTTGATTCGTCCCTGCAATTCAGTTCTCTACTGCTGTTTCGCATCCTTTATGTGCCATATTATCTTTTCTCATTTATCAACTTCCAGGCCTCTTTGTAATTTAGTTCCATTTCATACATTTTGCTATCTTTGCCAGGTTTGCATGTTGTATACTAGGAACAAATAAAGATGATCAACACATTGCAAATAAGTTATTCTTGTTCAGCTGCAGTTTGATTGAAATTGTGTGTGTATTGAATCACTAACTGAATGTTTTTGTTACTAGCATTGCTATATCTGTGAATCACTTGGTACATCAATCAATTTTGTTTTACCCCATTTGTGGTGCATTCTTGTAAGGCTCTGGTTCTTGGTTCGGTTGTCGATCTTTTTCTTGTATCAGTAAATATGTTTTAGAGATCAACACGTTGTTCATAAGTTATTCTTCCTTGGCTGGCAATAATTGCCCTGTAACTGTGTGAACATTGAATTATTGATCGAATGTTTTCATTACAAGCATTGCTATATCATTGCATTGGCTGTCAAAGCTCACTATCAATGTTGATTATTTTCTATCTGCTCATTCTTTTAAATCTGTACATGTCCTTTGTCTGCTATTGTGGATCCCTTCCTTTTTTTTTCAGTCACGTTATCTAGAGATGGTTCTGCATGTTGAGAAGTCACTGAAATGTTTTGTTTCGGTATTAATAATCAGTGTCTTGCTTGCTTTCACATCTTTATTCTTTCTTAGTGATCAAACGAATACACAACAGCCTTACAAGAAAGATAGACAACCGAGCAAAGAGCCAAATCCTTGCAAGGATGGAGTAGGATGCAGTAACTGATAACACTGGCTGCAGCAAGTCTTTCCCTGCTACACATTTTTCCTGGAATTTGGTCTCTAAATGCGACATTGTAACTCGTCTCAGTCATATACAAGGCCAATTTTGCCTCGGATGCCCCATCTTTTTGGTCCAGTTTTTCTTTTGCATCGGATGGGATGGAAAACCTGGGGCGCAAAAGCTTGTTTATTTGAGAGCTATTCTCATTCATGTCTCGTCTTTCCTTGTGTTCACTTCTCAATCCGGAGAGGTTCAATTGAGCTAGTAGTTGAAGCTCAAGGAAGGCACGTCTTCTTTGTGTGCTAATTCTGATTGGGCAGGGATTGGTGGTTGTCAGCATCTTTGACAAGTCACTGATTGGCTCTTCAAGATCTGATTTGGGTTCACGTCTTCTTTGTGCGCTAATTCTGATTGGGCAGGGATTGGTGGTTGTCAGCATCTTTGACAAGTCACTGATTGGCTCTTCAAGATCTGATTTGGGTTCTGCTTCCTTCCGACAAAGCAGAGAGAGACACGGCACAGCTAGGCTGCTCTTCAATAACGCAGCCGCTTCGCGTGTTGGTTTCAACTAGTGTTTATTAGCCATGGTACATTGTTTTTCTCTCACAACAAATCAGCACTGGACGGGCTTATCAGCCCAGAAACCAACCAGCGAACAGGCTGATGGACCTCTGTTGTTCATCTAGTATTAGTATATTGGGCAACAGAAACTCACGTTGCGTGGTTGCAATTCTTCTTCCATTCCGGATGTGGATGGATACCGAGCCACCCATCATTATGGAGTTCTTATGCTGTGCGTGGGATAAGTGTTTTTTTTTACATCAATACGTCAAGTTATTGCTCTTTGCTCCACATCTGCGTTCAGTATGAACCATGGCTTCATGTTCTTGTTTTCGGGCCAGAAAGGCGACTGGGCTGGGTCTAAAAATTTGGGTTACATAGATTTAGCCCATTACATGTGTGCGAGCTTTTATTTTCTTGGAGATTGTTTAAGTTTCGTGTGCAGGCATCCGGTTCATGGTGCACGCGCACGTTTGAGTTATAGGTGCATAAGTTTATCTATATGTTATGTTTAGATATATAGTGAACACTATATATTAAAAAAAGTCAGAACGATTTATAATTTGAAATGTATGAAGTATTAATTAACCTGTCGGTTCGACAAACTCATGGAGAAATAAATATAACCCTATTGGTTTTAGCGTAACACACAAGAATAATCAAATTTTCTTGTAAGTTAACTTGGAACACATAAAAAATAGCTCACATCATAATTTGGTTTCAGAAAAGGACCAAACAAATATATGGTACTAGTCCTCCGTATCTTTCTGCACCCGTGTGCCCGTTCGTCGGCGTCAATAAGGATCAAGTTTGTGACAATCAACGCGTGGAGCGATAAGCATGAGCTGGTGGTGGGCAGGAAGTGGCGGCAGGATGGCGATGGCCACGCCGTCACGTCCGGCCACCAGTCCTTCGATAGCGTCGCGCTCGTCGTCGGCTCCACCGAAATACTGGGCACCTCCCTCGTCGACATCCTCCCGCTGCCGGACACCCCTGGCGGGCCATGGAAGGTCTACGCGCTGTCCCGCCATCCACCCCCGCCATGGCACCCTCCGTCACCGTCCTACATGACCCACCTGCACATCGACCTCACCGACTCCACCACCATCGCTGAGGCCCTGACGCCGCTGACTGACAGCACCCACATCTTCTACGTAGCCTGGTCCTCGCGCCCCACAGAGGCCCAGAACCAGGAGGCCAACTCCGGCATGCTCCGCAACGTGCTCTCGGTCGTCGTCCCCAGCTGCCCCGCGCTCGCCCACATCTGCCTGCAGACCGGGACCAAGCACTACGTCGGAGCCTTCGAGGCCATCGGCAAAAGACAGTCCCCATCCTGGACCCACCCTACACCGAGGACGTGCCGCGCCGGGACTGCCCCAACTTCTACTACGACCAGGAGGACATCCTCGTCAACGTTGTCTCCCAGCGCGGCGCTGCCGCCGTAAACTGGTTGGTGCACCGCCCCAGGCTCATCTTCGGGTTCACCCCATAGAGCGGCCATGAACATAATCTGTAGCCTCTGCACGTACGCGGCCATCTGTCGGATGGAGCGCGCCGTGCTTCGGTGATCGGGGTCCCGTGGCGCTTGGGAGGGGTTCGACAACGCGTCCGACATGGACCTCGTGGCGGAGCATGTTGGGGTTTAGTCCCATATTGGATATCGATGGTGGGGGAGCACAATATATAAGGTGGGGTAATTCAACCTATCAGGCTAGTCTTTTGGGTTGAGTAAGGCCTAAAGGCCTTATATGTTGTCAACTCCGATGGACCTGGGACCTATGGGAGTGTAGGCTCGTGGTAACGAGTCAGGCCAGCTGCAAGCCAGCTCCAATAGATCGAGAACTCGGGGGTCACCACCGGTTCCAACAATTGGTATCAAAGCCCATGGTTAAAAAAGTTAAACCCGATAAAAAAATCTCGAGCGTCACATATGGCGGGGCACCCTTATGTGTGACTAAGGGGGAGATTGTTGGGGTTTAGTCCCACATTGGATATCGATGGTGAGGGAGCACAACATATAAGGTGGGGCAATCCAACCTATCAAGCTAGTTTTTTGGGTTGAGTTAGGCCCAAGGCCTTATATGTTGTCAGCTCCGATGGACCTGAGACTTGTGGGAGCGTAGGCGAGCCAGGCCGATCTTATATGTTGTTAGCTCTAGTGAACCTGAGACCTGTGGGAGTGCAGGCTCATAGTAACGAGCTAGGCTGGCTGCAAGCCAGCTCCAATAGATCGAGAACTCGGTGGTCACTACCGGTTCCAACAATTAGTATCGGAGTCCATACTCAAAAAAAAGTTAAACCCGATAAAAAAATCTCGAGCATCACGTATGGTGGGGGCACCCCTCTGTGTGACTAGGGGGGCATTGTTGGGGTGGGTTGAGTTAGGCCCAAGGCCTTATATGTTGTCAGCTCCGTGGACCTGGGGCCTGTGCGAGCGCAGGCTCATGGCAACGAGCCGGGCCAGCCTTATATGTTGTCAGCTCTAGTGGACCTAGGACCCATGAGAGCATAGGCTCATGGTAATGAGCCGGGCCAGCTGCAAGCCAGCTCTAACAGATCGAGAACTCGGTGGTCACCACTAGTTCCAACAATTGGTATCAGAGCTCATGGTTAAAAAAAAGTTAAACTCGATAAAAAATCTCGAGTGTCACGTATGGCAGGGGCACCCCTATGTGTGACTACGGGGGAGATTGTTGGGGTTTAGTCCCACATCATGTAGCGATGGTAGAGAAGCACAACATATAAGGCGGGAGAAGCCCCTACCTATCAGGCTAGTCTTTTTGGCTGAGTAAGGTCCAAAGGCCTTATATGTTATCAGCTCCGGTACACTTGGGACTTGTGGGAGCGCAGGCTCATAGTAACGAGCCAGGCCAGCTCTAAGCCACCTCCACCTGTTCCAACAGAGCAACAGATTTGGGCGGTCGTAGACCCCATGGCCAAGAACAAGGCGTTCAACTGCAGCAACGAGGATGTGTACACGTGGAAGCAGCTGTGATCGATACTTGCTAGACAGTTTGGGTAGGAGTGGGTCAGTGGGTGGGGTACGATGGAGAGGAGAACAGGTTCAAGCTCATGGAGGCCACGGCCAGGAAGGAGGCTATCTGGGCGGCATTCCTGGATAGCATGAACAAGAGCAAGTAGCACGGGTGTAGGGTCGAGATGGCGGACTAGAGGGGGGGTGAATAGTCTTTTATAAAATTAATCGCATCGGCTAACCAAAACAAGTGCGGAATTAAAACTATCGGTCTAGCCAAGACTACACCCCTCTATCTATGTTCTCTAGCACCTTCCAAAGATACTAATTAAGCAACAAAGGTGCCAGGCTAGCTAGAGCTCACCTAACCAATTCTAGAAGTAAGGTCACACAAACCTATGCCACTAGTACTTCAAGCAACAAGGGAGCTCCTACACAAGCTAGTAAGCAAAAGCACAAAGCCACCTAAGCTCACTAGCAATGCTCAATAACAAGGCAACCAATGCCAAATTAGAGAGCGCAATCACTTAGCTACACAAACTAAGCAATGTGACTAACAAGGTCACACAAACCAAATTAGCCACGCAAGGGAGCTACTTCTATGCTACACAAGCAAGAAGGTAACTAGTAAGCTACACAAGCTAACTAA